AAAGGAAAGTCCCATAATGGTACCTCTTCAAGTGGAACCAAGGCTGGTCCCACTGCACCCTCCTCCAACCCGAAGGATGCATAGTGCTACTACTGCTATGAGAAAGGGGATTGAAAAAGAAGTTGCTCGAAGTACTTGCAAGATATCAAGGATGGGAAGATAAATCTGTCCTTCGCGAGTATTTATATTATTCATTCTAACAACTCATCACATGCTATATCTTGGGTCCTTGATACAGGATGTGGTTTTCACATTTGTTATGATTTGCAGGACCTAAGAAGAAGTAGGGATGCGGAGCATGGGAAGATAAACTTGATCATGGGGAATAGGAAAGTGTCGCCTGTCACCAAGATTGGAGTTTACTATTTAGTGCTTAGTAGTGGGTTAGGTATAGATTTGAATAATTTTTGTTACTCATCAGAATTGACATGAAACTTTATTTCTTTTCATGGTTTGTATAAACAAGGTTTTAGTTTTTCGTTTAATAATGAAAAAGGTTCTATTAATACTTTCTTTAATGGTTCTTTCTATTTTGAAGCATTGCCTTGTAATGGTATATATGAAACTGTGATGGTTGTAGACAACTTAGGAAATAATGTGTTGCATATCGATTCTTCCAATTTTTTGGACAAAGCATGCTTGTGGCATTGTCGTCTTGGACATGTCAACAAGAAGCTCATAGCCCAACTCCAAAAGGATGGAGTGCTAGAGTCATTTGACCTTAGGGACGATGACGAGTGTGAATCTTGTTTACTTGGAAAGATGACCAAATCACCCTTCACTGGAACTTGTGAAAGGGGTGAAGGTTTATTGGATCTCATACATAGCGTTGTATGTGGGACCTTTAAATCCACCACAAGGGATGAAAACCGCTTTTATGTGACTTTCACCGATGATTATAGCAGATATGGGTATATCTACATAATCAAGCACAAGTCAGAAACCTTTGAAAAGTTCAAAGAGTTTAAAAAAGAAGTGGAGAATCATTTGGGCAAGAAAATCAAGATGCTTCGATCCGGTCGAGGTGGTGAGTACCTTAGTCTTGAATTCCACGACTACCTCAAGGAATGTGGAATTGTTTTGCAATTGATGCCACCTAGGACACTGTAGTTGAATGGTGTGGCTGAGAGGCGCAATCGAACCTTTTTGGACATGGTTCATTCCATGAGGAGTCGTGCTTCGTTACCTATCTCATTTTGGGAGTATGCCTTAGAGAATGCCGCCCATATCCTTAACCTAGTCCCTACAAAGAAGGTTGCCAAAACACCTCACGAGATGTGGACAGGGAAAGCTCCCTCATTGGCACATATCAAGGTTTGGGGCTGCGAGACTTTCGTAAGATGAGAGACTCACAACAAACTCGAACCTCGTAGTGAGTGGTGTATTTTCATCAGCTATCCGCAGAAGTCCTTTGGTTATCTCTTCTATAAACCGAATGACAATGTTGTCTTCGTTGCGAGGTGAGGGGTTTTCCGAGAGCGAGAACTCATAAGCCAAGAGGATAGTGGGAGGCAAATTGATCTTGAAGAGCTTCAAGAATCAAGCGATGAAGGAACCTCTAACGATGGCGTTCAACTTGAGGAGGAAACTCATGTTGAACCGATTCATGAGTCCTTACCTCTTAGACGTTCCAGTAGAGTTAGTGTTCCACCTGTGTTTTATGGTTTTCATATTACCACGAAGGCTCCGAGAAGAAGAGCTTTTGGCTTAGAAGTTTTGCCCCTGCAAAGCCTGACTCCTAGCTAAACTCCATTGTAAGTGAGTTATGCTTACCCTACTTTAAGTATAACTTATGTTTAAGTTTATTATCGTTATTGTGAACCTATAAATAATATATGTGCTAAATATTATAAATTATACAAAGAGTTATTATAATAGCTTTTAACTGCTCGCGATACGAGGAATCTGGTTTGAAGGACCACATAGACTTGTTGGATTTTAGAACAGCTTAAATGCCAAAATGGTCATGCCCTCTGTGTTTCATGTTTGACCCCTGTCTGTACATTGTAGTTGAAAAGTATTGTTTAACACTTATATAATACAAGAAAAAATAATATTGCTCGTAGAGCTTTAGTTAATGATAAATCTAGATTAATAATTAGTCGCAATAAATATTAGACTAAAATCTAGTGATAATGATACTAGGTTCGTCGAAGAAAAATAAATTGTTAGAAGCGAAACGCTACCCGAGTTTGGAATCATCACTTTAACAAGTGAGTGCATAGTTACTTTTATCTTACACATAGATATGAAGTATTTAATATAAATTACATGCTATGTGAGCATATTATCTATGTTCTTAATATATATGTTGGATGAACAAAATATACATGTTTTATTCGATTTAAATTGTATATGTATTTTATACCTATAAGTATGATGGGTAAAGATGGATAGATGATATAGATGATGAAATAATTGATGAGAGGTCTCGATGTTTAAGCTGATTTAGTCATCTAGAAGAGTATAGATGACGACCACAGACTATCCTAGACAGTCTAATGGAATGTTGGCAGGCTCGCAACCTGTAGGTGTTGGTGAACGATGTGTTCACCGGTGTACTTCATCCCCCTCATGGTTGCCTTACTGACATATATTGCGGAGGATTCCCCTAAGCAATATTGTCATCCCGATGATGATCCTTAGGCTAGGTCTCATGAATTAAATGCCTTAGGGACAGAAAGTGAGGATAACGAGAACGAGTAATCGGGTTGAATGATTTGATGAAATTAATGAACTTAATTATTGTGGGTTGAAAATTGTATGTGTTCACCAGACTCCCAAGCCTGACAAATTCAGTTTCTTGTATTACAGGTAGCGACCATAGAACACATGAGTGATGATCTGATGAGATATCAATGGATTATATGTCATTAGGATAATAGATGGTGTAAGGTCTGTACTATTTCTATTTATACTTATGTATTGTATTGACAATGACATCTCGATCTTTTTAATAAAATCACCTTGAGGTGATTCCATGGTCGGGAACTGGCGCGGGGGGGGGGGGTCCATTTTTGTTGGTTGTGAAAATATTGTGTGTATGAGCAAGTCTTCTTCCCATTGGTCGTTTCCTTTCCTCCTCCCCACAACAAACTACAACGAAGCCGCCGAACCACGACCGACCTACATGGTGTGTACGGATCACAATCGTGGCCAGCTAGACCACAGACCCGACAATTGTGAGTATACGTGATGGCCGAGTGAGCAAATAACCTACCTATTACATAGGTCCCCGACATCACAAAATTGTTGCTAGACCATATGGGGGATAGGGGCGGAGCTTCAACACATGATTTTTTTTTTTTGGAGAGGGGGGGGGGGGGGGAGAAAATATAATATGTATAAAAATCGGTCAACAGGAGGGCCACATACAAATTTCTTTGGGTCTAATATATATAAAATTAAAGCGTATGGGCTATTTGTAACAAAAAAAATCAGGGGCATAACCCCTCTAGTCCTAATAAAGCTCCACCCATGATGGGGGAGAATATTGACATGCTGTATATTTCCCTATTAAAATATGATGTTTATTCTCATGAAAATATGTTGTTTACGTAGAAAAATATATATATATATATATATATATATATATATATATATATTAAAGTTATGAAAAAATTTAATAGTATTTTGTTTTGATAGGTTGGAATTTCTTTTTTAAATTAGTGTTACAACATTCACCCTTCAATTTTATGTTTTTGTTCACAAACAACCCTTTCACTTTCGTTTGAATTTGTCATAACCCTTGTCTTTTATTACATATTATTAGTATTTAATCATATTAATATTTTTTTTGGCAGGAATGGTCCCTCAACTATATTTGGATCATTTTAAGGTTGATTCCTTTTTGTCTTTTTTGTCGCTCTTCCGTTGGTTATTTGTAGCATTATAGGTTCCTATGTTTTCGTTTAATTATCACTTTATTAGTTTTGCTTACAGATTCAGTGATGTTTTTTTATTTCTTATTTATTTATTTGTTTATAGATCAGTTAAAGAGGGAAAGACTGAGCAACTCAAACTATAAACATTTTCAAAGAACAAACAACGGAAAAAATTGTCGCATCCGACCCCCGCAACGCGGGGGTTCCCCATCTAGTTATTATTATTATTATTATTATTATTTTGAAACTGTTGTGCAACTCTTAGATCCATGCGAAACAATAAACAAACTTGAGAAAATACCAGTAATAGTAAAAAAAACAGGTGGTAATTTCAAGATTTAGACATAAAAATGGATATTTCCGGGTATAGACATGCATTCTGTGAAATCTACTATAGCTTTGCGGAATGACAAAATCGTAATTAAATCAACGTAAAAAAAAAAAAAAAAAAACAAACTCAAGATCCTTTCCGCGGAGTTACAGTAGATTCCGCGGAGCTCTGCGGAAGTAACTCCGAGGAATGAATCTTGAGGGTTTTTTTTTTTTTTTCCCGCATCGATTCTTCGGAGTTTATATTCATTACCCAACTAATTATTTTCAAAAAAAGATTATCATACTATCATAATCTTTTCTTGAAAATAATTAGTTGATGAATAAATATAAACTCCGAAGACTCGATCCGGGGAAAAAAAACTCGAGATCCATTCCTCGGAGCTACCTCCACGGAATTTACTGTAGCTCCGTGGAATGGATCTTGAGTTTTTTTTTTAAACGTTGATTTAATTACGATTTTGTTATTCCGCGGAGCTCCATTGAGCTACCTCCACGGAATGCATGTCTACACCTGTAAATATTCATTTTCATGTCTAAATTTTAAAAATACCTCATATTTTTTGGTTATTGTCGGTATTTTCCCAACAAACTTAGCTCCATTTTTTCATAATATTCTTGGCCAAAAAAAAAAAAAAAATGAAACAGATTCAAAATTATATTTTGCAGTTTGGTCCATTTGATAGGAAAGACCGTAATCTTCGTCAAACACGATATTTTGGTTCTTTATTGGTTAAATGAGACACGAGTTTATTAATTTGCCTTTTTCTTTTAAAATATTGATATTATTATTGACGCAAAAAATAACTCAAACAATAAAAAAAACATTATATTAAACTCTAAAAGAACTTGTAAGAATAATAGTCTAATTATATATTTATATCTTTTTTTTTTCTTTTACGAAATAAAACTCAAGCTATTCAACATGAGTACATGACCCTTTATAAATTAAACCATTTGCCTTTTTCAATCGTCAACCAATCGTCGTCCTTTTAACTTTTAGAGAGAGAGAAAAAAAAAAATCATCCACAGAGATGGCTTCTTCTTTCTTACTCACGGTGGTGGTTGCGCTCATGGTGATGTCTGTATCCGTGTCGACGGCACAGGCGCAGGCAGACTGTGCGTCGAAGCTACTCCCGTGCGCTCAGTACCTCAACGCCACCACAAAGCCGCCCAACTCCTGTTGCGATCCGATCAAGGAGGCGGTGGCCACCGATCTACAATGTCTGTGTAACCTGTATGAGAATCCTGCCTTCTTGTCTGGAATCGGAATCAATGTTGCTCAGGCACTTCGTCTTCCTCAATTGTGTGGAATCCCCTCTGACACTACCGCCTGTAACACTACTGGTTAGCGATCCTTTTCCTTCATCACTATTTCGCTTTAGCTTTTTAGATCTCACGATACCAAATCATTAAGTACGATGTTTTTTGATCCACCTATTAAGCCGATAATTCAGTAAAATCAATATCACCATTTGATTATTTCAAACAGATGGTTGATAAAATTATACTACAGAAGAACTTGAATTGATCATCATAAAGCATCCATCGATTGATGATATACTGCTATGTATGCTAATTTTTTATATGATTAAATGTTGCAGCTCAATCTCCAACTGGATCCACAACTCAAACTCCACCAGGTATTACTTCATGATCTCCTTACTATGTTTTACCTAATTTTGTCACTATTATTTCTGATTAATTACTTGGGTAAAATTAGATTTATATCAAGAGAAACAACGATCCTGTTTAATCTACATGAACATAAATATTAATCATAATTAGTGCAATTAAACTATAACATTTGATACCTTATTCGTCAATTATCGCTCTTCAATTCTGATTAGGTCCGTTTTCTTTGGAAACTAATTCACGTCAAATATTGTGTTTTTTTTTTTACTGCAAAAAAAGAAAAAAAAAATTCTAAACAAATTGTTTTAGATGAAAAAAAAATTCAATTATAATGAATTTACAACGAATTCACAAGTGTCATTACGAAATTGTTATTTATTTGACACATAAAAATAATTTCGTGTTATTTTATGAAAAAATTTTAAATTAAATCACCATTTTTTGCAACTAAATTATTTATTTATTTATACATTTATAAGAATATTGGTGGGAATTTAAATGTACAAAATAATTGCTTGATCGTGGAAATTATGTTGGAGTTGACTCGGTCAATTGACTAAGCGGTGGCCTTCAATTTTGACCAGGAACTGTTTACCATTGAAATATCTAAACCAAAAATATTTTAATAACTTGTGTTTTATAATTATGAACTACATATTTATTTAATAATATGATCATTGGGCAAAAAGAATTATGGAAAGTTGCATCTTTGATTTTTTATACTATCAATACATACAAGTTAAAAACACCATTTTTTATATTTATAAAATTCATATTTGGTTTGAATGCAATTTAATTAAAATATTTATAGTAGCATCCTTAAAGTTACGTGTATTTTACAGGTAGGACCCCTGGGGCTGGGGGTGGAAACGGTGTGGGTAAAATTGCTTCAAGTGGGGTTATTGGTTTACTATTGATTTCGGCTTGCATGATGTTATTTTAAGTTGGGAGTTGTAGAAATGTCTTCATATATGATTTATTGTTGTGACATCATATGTTATATACTTCTTGGTGTAAAAACCATATATATTTATTTATGGTTCTTAAGAGTGTAGTTTAATAAATCAAGGCTATTAGTTTTCCATGTGTTTACTTAATTACGTTTTCTTTTCATTCAAAATAAATGGGTTTTTATGTCTCAAATGCATATTTTTAGTTAACATCCAACAAAATTTATTTATGATCATATAATCTTGGGTAGGGGTCAGATCAAATTCATTGAGTTTTGATGGATCCGATCCAATCCAATCATCTATTGGATGTTGGATTCTGTCAACAGATCCAATCAAATGTAGTAAACAAAACACGAATAAATCGAACCGATAGAATTGGATGTTGGACATGATTGATTTTATCCATTGTATATTTTTTTTTTGGTTTGCTTCATTGATTATTCATTATTCAACAAATTATACATATGATAACTAAAAATAAACCTTACACAATTACATAAAGTAATATTAACTTCAAGCCTCCAATTTTTTTTAATTGAATAATTAATAATTTTATTTGGATTTGATTAATAATATTGAATATTTATTGGATTAAAATTAGATATCCAATTGGATCGATAGGTTTAGTTATTTATTGGATTTTCTGGCTGATCCAATAATTTATTCAATCCAAATGAATTTTAAAATATTGCATCCAATCCAATTTAATTGTAATCGGATATCCAATCCGATTGGTTGGCTCGTAATTGGATTGATTAATTTGTGCATACTCCTAATCTTGGGTAGATTTAATTTGGATGTTTACATTTTTAGAATTGATAGTTTCTAACGTTGTTAAGAGGTTTATGTTATAGAAAATATATGTTTTGATATAATCGATTTTAACTATGTTATTTTGGAATCACATACGTAACCTTAAAGTTATTTGTTTGTTATTCTGAAGTGTTTGGTGTGTGGCATTGGTAATCTAATAGTGACATGAGTCCAAAGGGTATGGAGATCATTATTGGTTGGGACCTAGAGACATTTGAGGCCATGCTTATGTATAGCTTAGACCAAGCTATTCACTATCCTATTTGTAAACTCGTCTTCAATTTGACATTAATTGTGAAATCATGCAAAACATGTCCAATTTGAATATAACATTACATTATATGATTAAGCATATTAATCATGAAAACAAATTTCAACGTATTAATCATAATCACGAAACCATAAATTCCTGCAAAACATGTCTAATTTGAAAATAATATTATATCATCATTAAATATATTAATCATGAAAAACACATTCAAAAATCATAAAGTTTAAACATTCCAATAAAAATTAAGAATGTCTAAACTCTAAACAAAAGCTAGAAGGGATGTACACAACGGAAATGTATAAGTACTAAATCCAAGGATAAATAAATGAACTAAAACATGTCTCTAATAGAGACTCGTCAACAAAACGGACTTTGATCCTGATCCGAAATCAGTAGTGAATCTAGAACTAAAAACAACGTGATTCCTTATTTAAATTAAACTGAAAAAAATATGAAAGTGCAAGTCTTTTAGCAAAAACAAGATAGGTCCTAAATTTTTTCTTTATATATTTGTTGTATTGAAAAAAAAAGGTAGGTCTTAGGACCTACCTTGTGAATGCTTAGCTACGCCCCTGTCCGAGATGGGTTTGGAGCATGGTTTTTTGTTTCGTTTACCCGTTAACGACTTATACCCGCTAACTATTTTATTAAAAAGGTTGGGTATGGATCATTACTGGTCCGTTCCGTTTATAATCGGTCCGTTACAAATTTTAGAATTATATACTTATATTTTATATTGCTTAAGGTTTAATTTTAATTTCATTTGCAAATACAAGGGACAAAACCCAAAGACCGAACTATTTCTAGATAGGACTCTAGAGTTGACTTATAGACTTTCAATTTTACCAAAAATTATGATGTTATTTCATTTATATTTCATCAAACAATCGCCAATTTCGTTTATAACTCAATAAATTCATTTACGAGTCGAAAGAAAGTTTGCAACTGGTATTCTCTATCACTACAATTGACAGTTAGAAATAAATCGGAAGTAATACCAATAATGATTTTTAATAACAACCGAAAATATTCAAGTATTAATATACTTTTTAAATCAACATTTCTTTTATTTAAGAAATGTTCTGTTAAATAGTAAGCTAAGTAGTGAGCTATAATATATATTTTTAAGAATTAAATAAAATGTGTTGATTATTTGAAAAACTTACGGGTTACGGGATGAGTTTGTATATCTATTGATTAAGTGGATAAATGTATGCGTTTAATTATTTAAAACCCTACAGATTACGAAGCGGGTTTGGATTGGATTATCAAATTTGTTAAAAGGGTTTGGATCAATGTCAATTCGCTGTCGCATTGTCATGTCTACTCTAACCACAAACCAATCATACATCACTAATACCAGATAACACTAACAAATCTACTTGAGACACATTAAATTAATATGCTAGGTTGGAAAGACTGATTAAACAAAAATGGTAGATTCATATAAAACCACATATACACTCAACTTAGTCCAAACCACATATATACCCAATTTAGTCTAACTATGAAACCCAACCAAATGCCTCCTACACCTTGTACATACTCAGCCTCACCTTTGTCAATGCAATTTTGAATGCCTTCGGTTCGATGGGTCAATCTCTCGTTCCAAACTTAATAAATATTATCTATACACACGTGATCAATTACAGTCTCTACACTCACAAGATTTGGGGCATGCTTTCTAGTCCATGGCCACAAGGTCTTAGGTTCAAAATTCTACATGCTCCATCGACTATTAATACTCTACGATTTGCCTTTCACTTGATAACCTTAACATCTATGTGAGGTGATACTCTTAGGGTAAGGTTTAACTTTTTTACCTTCTCGATAAACCTTCTACATGATTTAGATTTTTGAACAAAATCATTAAAAGTCAGAAATCAAAAACAAATAGTGAATATTGCGAAATAGTCGAAGGACCATTTTTACAATATACTTTAAAATAGTTGTAAATGGAAGCTCCTGGAATCATCTTTGTGACTCAAGTCTGAAGTCACCTCCAGTCCATCGCCCAGCTAACGAAAACCGCCCCCAAAACTCTACACAAATCGTAAACCCTTAGTTTCCATTTTTTCCGGCAAATCTGCAACGGCGATGGACGCCGCTAAACTAGAGCAACTAAAGATATTTATCAGTCGGTGCAAATCCGATCCCTCCATTCTCAGCGATCCTTCACTCTCCTTCTTCCGCGACTATCTTGAAAGGTAAATGCATTCATACAATATGCGGTTTTGTCGCACGTCCTTTTTGATTGATTATAGATTTATACTAATTCGTATGAAACATGTTTGGTTTTTGATTTCAGCCTCGGAGCTAAACTTCCGTCATCTGCTTACAAGAGTGAATCGCAATCGGTACCTCTTTTTTCTTGATTTATTTACTGTTTACAGCTGTTGATAATGAATATAAATGATTGGAGCATTTTTGGGGTAAAAGCTGTATAATCGTGTGAACGCCGTTGTTAACGAAATTAATCCAAAATAGATGTATGAGTGACCTAATTATTTTTATGCAAATGTATTGATACGCATGAGTCAACTAACTTTCAAGTTCAAAATTGATGTAAATCCATTTGAATCACAAGTTTGACAATGAGAATTTGTATTGACTGGTTATTAAATTATTGAACAACTTTGACCTTGCAGAAGCCTTATGTAGTGGAAGAGGAAGAAGATGATTTTGAAGAACCTGAAGAAGAAGAGGACGAGATAATAGAATCCGATATTGAATTTGAGGGTGAGACTGTGGAGCCTGATAATGATCCACCACAAAAGGTATGTCCTTACTTCTGTCATCCATCTTTCTGGTTTGTAATTTGTGATTTTGTATTTTCCTCTTAACTTCTTTTTGTGTCTCTTTGTTTTCATTTTTAGATGGGAGATTCTTCAGTGGAGGTCTCTGAAGAAAATCGTGATGCTTCTCAAGAGGCCAAAGCAAAGGGCATGGAAGCAATTTCTGATGGTTTGTTACCCTTTTTCATGTGAAGTTATGCTTGTTACTTTTTAATTAGTGCTAATTGATTGTTGTTAACAGGCAAGCTAGAGGAAGCAATTGAGCACCTCACTGAGGCAATACTGCTCAACCCCACTTCTGCTATTATGTATGCAACAAGAGGTACAACTGAGTTTGAGTTTTGACTAAATTTTTACATTTTTGATTATAGTTTCTTGTCTGTGATTTCTTTTAACTTTTTTTTTCTTCAATAAAGCTTCTGTTTATATCAAAATGAAGAAACCAAATGCTGCGATTCGAGATGCTGATGCTGCTCTACAGGTAGTTCTTTTTTTTCCATATATGTCAACAAGCCAAGTGGTGTCTATTGTTGGTTTTATCAGTTTCTTTCATATCTCACCTCATTGTATATATATACTTTTTGATGAGTAATTCCAGATAAATCCAGATTCTGCTAAAGGCTATAAGTCACGTGGAATTGCACTATCAATGCTCGGTCAATGGGAAAAGGCTGCAAAAGATCTTCATGTAGCTTCTAATATTGATTATGATGAAGAAATAAGTACCATTCTCAAGAAGGTTAATTGTCAAACCACATTATCATTTTTTCAAAACTGATTTATGAATCCTGATTCTTATTTTGTGGTGCATTTAGGTTGAACCAAATGCACACAAGATTGTGGAACACCGTAGGAAATATGATAAGCTAAGAAAAGAAAGGGAGGACAGGAAAATAGAACGTGAGAGGCAACGTCGCAGGGCTGAAGCCAAGGTAAATTCTTTCTTTTAATAAGATGGAATGGAATCACAAAGGAATGGAATGAACAACGTAATTGAATGGAATGAATCATTACATTCCATTGTTGCGTTTGGTTGAAGGAATGGAATGAGCCGTATAAACATGTTGTTTGTTATGTATAGATTGAAAAAAGTATGCGAAACTAAATTGATAAATAGACCAAAAAAAACGATATTTTGTAAATATGAACTTTAATTAAGTAAAAGCATACTGTTCAATAAATTATATATAAGCATATTTTGTTGCGTTTGATATGCTGTATGTATTTCAAATGGTTAAAAACAGGCATGTATCATCTAAAAAATTTGTACAAAATAAGTATATAACATGAAATCTTGAAATAAAATTATATAATAAGAAATATATTTAGTCATCCGTGTAAAATAAAAACAATTTAATTGAAGTTTTTATTATTTTTAATATTAGTATTATTGAAGATTGTATGATTAAAAGTAATTTATAATTTTTATATATCATTCTATTGTGTGGAGGAATGAAAAAAAAAACAGCCTTTCTCCATGGAATGAAAATCAGTCCAAGAGAAGGAATCACATTTCATAGGAATAGGGCTGTAAACGAACTGAACGTTCGGCGAACCGTTCGGCGGGAAGTTCGTTTATGTTCGTTTATTTAATAAATGAACGAACACGAACAAAAATTATTGTTCGTTTAGTTAAATGAACGAACATGAACAATGGTCTCGTTCGTTCATTTATGATCGTGAACATTCGTTTATGATGTTCGTTTACGTTCGTTCGTTTAAGTTTATTTATATTCATCTATATTCAATTATTATTTTTTTATATTGCTATATTATATGTTCGTTTATGTTCATATATGTTCAATTGTGTTTTTTTTATCTTTGTTCGTTTACCATTTTCACGAACATAAATGAACGAACATGAACAAAGTAATTTGTTAAACGAACGAACATGAACAAGAAAATCTCGTTCGTTTATCCGTTCGTGTTCGTTTGTTGTTCGGATAATTTAAACGAACGAACATGAACAAGACCTTATTTGTGTTCGTTTGGTTCGTTTACAGCCCTACATAGGAATGCTTCATTCCATTCCTTTCTTGCAAACAAACTGATTTTTTTTTTCATTCAAACATTCCATTCCCTCTTCTATTACTGATGTCATCACATGTTATCCACAGGCTGCATATGAAAAGGCTAAAAAAGAAGAAAAAGCATCTTCAAGTGAAAGAACTGGAGGAATGCCAGGTGGATTCCCGGGTGGCATGCCATTCCCAGGTGGGTTCCCTGGTGGCATGCCAGGTGGATTCCCAGGAGGTGGGATGCCAGGTGGGTTCCCCGGTGGAATGCCAGGTGGATTCCCAGGAGGTGGTATGCCAGGTGGGTTCCCTGGTGGCGGTGCAGCAGGAGGTGGAATGCCAGGTGGCGGTGCAGCTGGAGGTGGTATGCCAGGTGGCATTGACTACAGCAAGATCTTAAATGTGAGTCACTTTTAGTTTTACATTTGATGATTACATTTAATTTAAACATATATGAAGTAAATATTTGATGTATTGAAATGGGTACACAGGACCCTGAGTTGATGGCTGCATTCAAAGACCCTGAAGTAATGGCTGCTCTGCAAGATGGTATGTAATTTAGTTTCAGTTTTGGAAATATTTGTAAACATTATTGTTGTGGAAAGATATAGAAATAAAAGTATTTTATAATCACAATATCTTTAATCGTTTGTTTGCAGTGATGAAGAATCCAGCGAATCTTGCAAAGCACCAAGCAAACCCAAAGGTGGCTCCACTCATTGCTAAAATGATGAGCAAATTTGGTGGGGCCAATTAAAAACATAGTACCATTTATTTACATTATTAAAACGAGTGAGCTTTTTTAACTAGAAAAGAAAATGTGCAATTTTTGTAAGGTCCTTTCAAGACATTCTTGTTTTCATTTTTACTTAAACCGCAACTGGAATTGGAAGACTTTAAACAAAGTGTTGTCATGTGTCTGATTTGGAATTAACTACCTTCTACTAGGGAATGTTGTCTCACTTCTTCCTAACAACATGGAAACTAAAATGATCAACCAACAATACATAAACTAAGTAAAGTAATCCATATGAGTTGATCGGTGGGAGGGCCAAGATGATTTTGTGGTATGGAAGCCCACCTTGGATCGGTCACCAATTGAAGAAGGAGAAATTTTAATGGGTTACATCGGTGACATGCATCGTTGGTATTTTACTGGGCAATTGTAGTTATATAAACTTCACTTTAATTTGTCAAACATATCATATTATTTTTCTTCTCGATAAAATAACAAATTACCGCGTACCAAACATAACCTACCTAAATGGGTATTTCATATGGATACATTGTTTTGAGTTTATATTAATAAAAGAGAAATAAAATGTTTTTTTAAATAATTACTTATCGTACTATGCAATAAGGCTATGAATTGTGTGTTAAACTGTTAATCAATTCAGTTTCTTTATTTTCAGCATGATTCAAGGTCTTTGGACAAAATGAGGTCGCGTTTGTTACGATATTTAGTACGATCACCATAATGGCACATATGACTTTTTTCCTTATGTGTTAAAAATCTTTGAATTTGAACCCGGTAAATAAACGTTTCAATTATCATCTGTTTTATGTCAATTTTTACACCGGGTCAAACCAGGCGGTTTCTTTAAAAACCGAATTGAACTTGTGCTAGAACCGCTAAAAACCTTTCAAACTAGTTTCTTTGAATTGAAAAGTTGAATTTCATTTAATCCCTTAAAAACAACTCATTTTCAATGCAAATCGAACAATTCAATGACATTGGAAATGAATCATATCCAGGATTCTCGAAATTCTCACACTTCACTTTCTATAACTACTTGTGATTTTCAATACATGATGAATTTGGTTTGTAAATGCACATCACACACTTTAATCGATCTTTTTTTTTTTAAGCTATAAAAAAGATCGTTTGTACTTATGAGCAAAAGTTATTCCCCACTTGCCTCCCTTTTCTTTCAGGGACCAAATCCGACAACGGTGGTTCTCCTTCCCTCTCATGAATCTGTGTCGATGGAAAGGATAACTCGATTTAAGTGAAGCGTGAGAGCTACATTGGTGAGCACAAGACTATAAGCAAACACACATGCCATAGATGGTTGTGATGAAAGGCATCGGAGATGGTTTGTGCAGGACATATCGGAGAAGGTTGAAACGAAAGGAGTTGACAATTGTTGGTAAAGGAGTTACCGGATAGGGTTAGTACTAGGAATGGAGAAGGAGATCGCCTTCCCCTGTGATTTTTATTAAAAAAAAATGAAAGGAAAAGCCACGATTTTGTTAGTTTAATTTTTGATTTTGAAAAAAAAATACAAAAATGACACCTAGACTAAATGCAACCGGGAATCCGGAATGAAATTGGTTAATTACCTTATTTAACAGGTAAAATAATAATAATAATAAAAAAAGTTAGCGATCAATCTGGGACAAAGCAAAAGTTCCGTTGTGCTACAGTGTCAATTTTCCTTGTATATATGTATGCATAAAAATAAAAAATAGATAAAAATTATGGAAACATGGTCGAAACGGTAAAAAGAACGGTTCAACTAAAAAACAAGTTTTTAAAACATTTTTTCCCGATTTCTAATTTCATTAGTAATTTATTGATTTAAAATAAAGTAATCATATATGTAGATCTTCTATTTATCACCTTGTTAAATTTTATTTGCACAGTTGCGAAAAGATTTGAAATTTTATGACCGATACACAATTATGTTAGATATAATAGGGTTTATGTTGGGGATTTGAATAATATTTGGATCGTGTGAATACTTTCCAAACTGATATTTCTACCCTATGTATGGGTTGCAAGAAATCCAACTTAGGATAATCCAAAATGATACTTACGATTCTAGGCATAAAAGCTGTAAGCCAAATTGCTAGAAGGATTCTGTGTTCGTTTGAAGAAAAAGAAAGCTAATGATTTTCATATGTCTCTTCTCAAAGAAAAGGGCCGTTTATATAATATATAATAAACGAGATTAAGGTTTCTCTTAGGGTTGGTCATCATTGGTTGCTTTAGACGCAAGCTAGAAAATCCAAAATTTAATGAGGATTTAGGGTTTCCAAAACTAACGAATTTTGTTAGTTTTACCATAATCACCCTTAAGAATCCTAATTTCCCACTATGTTCCCATATGTAATGAGGATTTAGGGTTTCTCTTAGGCTCTGCCCCTTGGACCCCGCTAGAGGCGCTACGCCTAGACCCCGCCAAAGGGACGCCGCCCCTTTAGAAACCGTGGACCCAAGGTTGTTGCCTCCAGACCCCAGACTTGTCGTCAAACCGGCTTTTAATTCGATCTTATACATTCATGCACTCCACACAAAACCGTATATATATATATATATATATATATATATATATATATATATATATATATATATTATATATATATATATATATATATATATATATTAGAGTATAAATTATGAATTCTTTAACTCATATGTTAGTTCCAATTACACAAAATAACATTGTGACACTAAAATCACAAACAAATTATTCTTAATCAAACGGTACACAATAGTCCAAACGGAAATAATTATTAACTATTAATTTTATGAACGTTACATTCCACTTCTTTTTTACTTCATAATACTATAAATAATACTTTTGAATGTTTATGGATATAACATAATTCTTTTTTTAGAACAAAACCATAATATAATAGCTACTAGCCTACTAGTAATATTGTTTCCTTATGTATGCTGCTTTTAAAACATTTGCGACTATAATAATGTTTTTAAAACCTAAAAATAAATATTACAAAGGTTTCCTTGTTAAAGGTTAGTATTTGTAATATTCTAGGTTATCCTTGAACACCAACTCAAAAGCGTTAAGAGTAGGTGAGAAAAAGCAAAAAAGTTTTTGTTGAGTACCAAACAAGATTTAGATACATTTTAGGAGCCCCACATTTGCAATTCTTGAAATATGGGTGGCCATTAACTTCAAAAGTACTTGCACTTCTTTTCTCTTCACCAAACTCCCCATTTTCGAAAATTTTGCGATTAAAGTACAAATGTCCAACTTCTACTGAAAGCTTTTAAATCTTCATATGACCATTCGTCACATAGTTCATCAACCGACTGACTTTTACACTTTCTAAGCATACTCGAACACTAATTTGAACACAACAACCATGTCAAGATTAAAAATTTGAACTGACGAACTATTGAAAATGTAAGCACAAAGAAAACGTGAATAGAGAATATGCATATCATATATTTAGATAATAAAGAATATGATGATGACGTGAACTTTTACTTTTCATATATATATATATATATATATATATATATATATATAATATATATATATATATATATATAATATATATTATATATTATATATATATATATATATATATATGACAAAATTGCAAAAATAGTCACCGTGGTTGGCAAAATTTTGTAGTTTTTGGTCCAAAACGAAATGTTGGTGCACCACTGGTCCAATTTAGATACCTTGTGTGGTTTTGGTCCATATAGCTGTATTTTCTTGTGTTGGTCCACATCCACCTAAAATGACTAATATGCCCCTAAAGTAATTATATTTTGATTTCTTTTATTTATTTTCTTATTCTTACAATTAAAAGAAAAACAAAAACAAAATAAACCCAACCTACCCCTCCCCCCCCCCCCCCCCCCTCTCTCTCTCTCACACACACACACACATCTTTGGACGCGATCTTCCAATTGGAACTACCACCATCATAAACAAATCAAACCTACACCGCCATCAATACATCTTCTTCTACAACCATTGCTTCACCGACAATGACTTTGTCAGAGCACCCTCTTCTAATGTAAATTTTTTTTGGTGCATACATCTTCATCTCCTACGCATTCAAGATGGTAGTTGTTTGAAATCTCCATCTTCCTTGTTTCCTTCTTTGCCTGCACCGACCTCTGCCCTAGATCAATGGAGTTGCTGATGGTTGATTCCTCTCACTGCTTCAGTTCTTCCTGACAAACTTAAACCCAGAAATTGAAGTCCCCAAATTGAATTTTCTACTAAAATCAAATCCAATTTTGTATTCCAATTTGGTTCCAAGATTCATAATCAAAGTTAGTGTTGGATTAGAGAACGAGATGAAAGAGAGCGAAGAGCTTCCGATCTAACTTAAATCCAAAAAGTGAAGTCCCCAAATCGATTTTGAACAAGCCGGAAAAGGTGAAGCCAAGGCGTCGGCCTTGCCTTGGGCAACGACAGTAGCCCTACCTCCCACTGCCTACACTAAAAAATTCAACAATTGTTGCCATCGCCGAATGCCTTCTTGAGGTTACAGAAATTGAAAAGCTTATGGATGGTGTTCTTCATCCAGACCTTGTTTCTTATTTTTCTCCCCCAAACATCTCTTTTATTTTTCTTCCCAACCATACATAATCAAACAACTCACTTGATGAAATATTTTACATATCTTCATCTCAAACCAAAATTATACAGATAGATATAGTGATGATGTATTTAACACCAATTTCTTGTGATCTGAAAAATAAGGAGGAACATCAAGATGAACAGATACAAAAAAAACTTTAAATCCAAAAATCGTATTCAAATCTAACCCAAAATTAGAACCCACATCTTAGAAAAATGGACCACCAGAAAAACAATCCAATTTTTGTTTCCAAATTTGGTTTATTGAATTAGGAACAATAGAAAACAGGGAGGTGGTGGTGGAGTTGAACTAAAGAGGGGGAGAAGTGGTCGGGGAGAGAGATAGGGAGAGAGAGAGTGTGTGATATCCCCAAAATCTCGGCCAGAAAAGACCGATTTTCATTTATGCTTTTAAAATAATTTCAGAGTAAATCCTTTTGATTTGAAAGAGTTGCGGAATTTGTTCCCAAAAACAAAACATGATAAAACAATGTTTACCAAAGCATTTCATAAAATAAATGTATCTTCATTATATAATCAAAACTCGGGGTGTCATGTTCCGATACAGACCAATAAGCATAAACGATAACATTACAAGTCATTAAACAAATATATACATATACAGACTTGTAAACAAAACAACTTGATGGTTCATCCATCTTACG